CCAAAGCACACATCTACTGGCAGGGGAACAGCAATGCAACTTAGAAGGGCCATGTGTGTAAAGGACTGTAGCTTACCTGTTTTGATCTGGGTCAAAACTTAGGAAAATCAGGACCATGTCAAACGTGACATCTATTTACAGCATAGGAGGATGGGTAGCGCAGAGGAGAGTGCCCACCTTTGTTCTGAAGACAAAGAGGAGGAGGAAGAACCTAACAGCATGATGACGAACACTGAGGAGCAACATAAGAGGGAAAGAAGAGAAATCCCTCCGGCCAAAGCAAAAAAGAAAAAATCTGTAGCTAATTTGGGGAGTGGAAAGGGAAAGAAAAGAAGAGACATTTCTCATTCTTGTATCTCTTCACAAAACCCCCCAGCAGCAATCTTCCACAGAGGGTTTTCTCTGCCCACAGCAGTGGAGGCAGGAGCAGAGCTATTTGTCAGGAGAAACACTCAGCCATAAATCTGGGCCCGCAGGGAGCACTCTAGAAAAGTCTTTCCCAGCTGTAATTAACACTAGTAGTAACAGTTAATGGGGGAAGGGTGGAACAAGGAGAAAAGGCTTTAATATTAAAGAACCAGCAGACAGAAGAGAAACAGTCCTCTGATATTTTTTACACCTAAGGGGATGTTTGAATTGCTGGGTGAGCTTCGTAGAGGGTAAAATTTACAGATCCTTCCTTTCTCAAGTGAAAAGCCTGCTTATCATCTATTGCTAGAAGGGAACAAGGAATCCCAATAAGCAATATCAAGGGAGGCCAAAAGTTAAAATACAAAGTCCAAAGCAATTACTGGAATAAATTATTGATTCCATGGGACCTTCCTCTCCACTAGCATACATGGGACTTGCCTGTTCATGCTGTGTCAAAAGAAAGAATTATCCCAGTTTCATAATACCCGGTAAAGTGTGACTTTTCAACCATGTAGTAATGCCACCTCTCTTCTGTGGTCAGCTGTGCCCTTTCAGTGTAAAATGCAGTGACATATCCTGCATGTTTACTGCACTTGGGAAGGGAAAGGCCTTTGGCTTTGTGTGTTGCACAGAGACAGGCCCTGATGTGCTAATGCATAAATGTAATGTCTTTGAAACTGTAGAATTTACATTTACATTAAGGCTGGAAAGCGACTACCCTGAGGTCCTACTAGATTCAATCTATTTGTAGCTCAGGTCTAGCTTCCTCATCACAATCTCTTCTGTGTGGTTGCATTCAGCCAAAAATCATTCCAAGAAGTGTTAAAGGAACATTTAGGTTGCAACACCAAACACTAAAAAAAAGCCAGGAAATGTTAGAATTCATGTTTTCTGCGCACCATTAATTCAGCCCCATTCTGCGCCTGCATGATGGAATTACATAATTAAAAACAATTGTGCCATTGCTTTCACAGAACGTGCGTCTCACCCATTATTCAGGATAATTTTCTTTGGGGGAACATGCAAATGTTTTTTTTCCATGTATACTGGGTTATCTGGTTCATTTTAACATAAATATATATAAACAAAACTAAACCTTTCTCTGTCTTATCTGGGACTCTTTGAAGTCTAGGGTTTCTAACAGAAGCTTTCCAAAATAAAGCTAATTTGTAGTCTAGGCAATTAGGCCACATTCCAATCATTTTTAGGGTAGCATGATTTGTAACACTGGTATATATATTTTAAACCTTTACAGCTCAGTTCTTACACTAGCTTTTTCCCTGTTCAGGAAGTTCATGTTAAGTTACTTAAATTAATCATGCTGCTGGGTTTTTGGCTGTAGCCATGTTGGTCTAAGGACATAGGCAGGCAAGGTTTTTTGAGTAGATGTGATATATTTTATTAGACCAACTGAGTGGTTGGAAAAAAGTTCTTAGCAAGCATCCTGCCACACTTTTAGCTTCTCTCATTCCTTGGAGTCTCAGAACAGCAGAGACTCCCTATGCCTGAAGAAGGGTGATTGCACCCAGAAACTTGCTAAGAACTTTTTTCCAACTACTCAGTTCATCTAATAAAAGATATCACACATCTACCCAAAGAACCTTGCCTTAATTAAATAATTTTATTCAAGCTTTCAGATAGATTTCAAAGCACTTCGCAAATGAGGGCAAATTAAATTATCCTCCTTTTATCAACAGGGAAAAAGAGCCAAAGATTTAAGAAAACCTAAGATGCAACCCAGGTCATAGCAGAGCTGGCAACAGGATACAGCACTTCTGACTCTAAATCTAATACCCTAGCTCATCATCAAGCACACCATTTAAATACTATACAGAGCTACTGGCTGCATTGAGTGCTGTCCAAATTAACATTTAGTGTTCACAGTATGATGACTTGTGTTAAAGGTTTTGGGGATTTTTTCTGGTGGGGGGCAGGGGATAGAGAGGGTTGTCTCAGCATATCTAAATTAAAAGCAAACTTGGCTCCACTGGTGATCTTACTCTTCCCTGAAGAGCTGCATCAGACCACCACAACCCAGTGAAGTTCTCTGTGGCATTCAGTAAAAGGCATATCCAGGGCATATGCCTCCAATAACCTGCTGCATGGACCCCCAAACTCCTGCTTTTTCAAAGAAACTGTACAGGCTCTCCCTCAAGCCCATTGCCAGGCTCTCACAGGCCTTCCATGCTGAGACAGAGAACAGCTGGCCTCTCTCAGGGCAGAACAGGCATGCCTCCCTCCATGGCAGTGGCGCACAAACTTTTTACACTCAAGGTACCCTTTAATAGACTCAAGATTTCCCTTGGAAAATGCCAATTCTTGGTTTTCACTTCCTTTTCTGACTACAGAAAAAAATAGAGCCAATTTTTCTGTTGCAAAGAACTCAGAAAGACCAACCACACCAGGTCAGAATGGTTTTAATGTTATGGATTCCTATTTAAAATCCCTTGTTTTTAATCTTGTAAATCATGTTTGAACACTTCACAGTGATAATGCTTCATGGCACCCTTCAGCACTCTTGAAAGCATCTCAAGGCACCCTAGGGTGCCACAACACCCTGGTTAAGAATCACTGCGCTACGAAATGCTAGTTTTGTATTGCACCAGCAGTTTCATCTGTCCTGTGACAATAAGTAAAACGCTGTTAAACTCATCTTGGCACCTGACAGACAGAATGGCTGGTGTGTTTAAAACATGTGAGCTGACTCTATTCACCCTAAAGCTTTCTGAAACAACTCTTTTTCACAGGGTAGATTAAGTTTAGAGTCCTACATAAGGTGACAGAGAAGGCAAAGCAGCTCCAAAGGGCAGAGCACCCACACACATGCCACATACCCTCTACCAATCTCAAATTTAATTCATAGTGTGCAAGAGGGAGTCACTGAGGATTTATGAACCAAGAAATTCTAGTCCCCTAGGTTAAAGACTCCAGCCCTAATCACAACCCTGATTAACTACAGTGCTGGGGTTGGGGAAAGAATAGTATTCTTTGCATGAAGAGTCTTTCCCTCGAGGATTTCAGACTGAAATATAGATTGGAACAGAGGTGTAACAAGCAATTTTTGCATTCTGGGTAGCAGCAATGCCCAGGCCATTAGCAACCAACTCCACCAATCTTGTACCGCCTCTAAATCCATGTGGGCTGGTGCCCTGGTTGCCTACCCCTAGTTACACTACTGGACTGGAATATTTCTTAGTAAAGTCATTCCAAAGGCTCCTGACCAAAAACAACTGATGTTTCCTACATTATGCACATGCCCATGTACTAATTTCACATAGTGTTTGCGTTGCAATGAAAAAGCAAAGGAACAAGATTTTTCAGCAAACATATGCACAGATAATAAGGATATTTGGGTCTTATGGAAATGTTCCATTGTTCTTAAATCCCTATAGATTACACAGCTATTAACCAATTTATCTCCTTTTCATAATGCCTAAAATTAATCTGTTCCTGCAATTCAGATGGGGAGCTGCTATTTAACAAAAACAAGAGATTAATCATGGAACGTCTCATGGAGAAACTGCATAATTAATCACACAGTACTCTCAAAAATCTTTTAAAGTTCTAGGAACTTTAAAGCCTTAATTTATTTTAAGTCAACCTGTTCTCCGAGCCTAACTGGATGAACAGCCACCTCAAGAGGATATTATAAATCAGTGGAGAGTCCACAAGAAATGGGAAGAAGCACAGATCAGGAAAGCAACTTGTGTTCTGGAGGTTCAGAACAAAAGAAGAAAGTGAGAATTGCCAGAAGTCAAGCTGATTCAGACCTAACAAAAGATGTTTAAAAAAAACACAGAAAAAGGTTCTTCAGGCACATAAAGAAAACAAGGAAAGAAGAAGTGATACCACTATGCAGTGAGGATGGGATAGAGATTAAAAATAATCCAAGCATGGCCAAAAAACTAAATGAATACTTCACCTCAGTTTTCAGTGAGAAGGATAATGTTGAATATGGGGCAAAGGCAAGATAAGAATTGTGAATGATGGTAAAGAAATGGAAACAACCACAAGCAAAGCTCCAGAAAAGGTCAAAAAGCTTAATGCGCTTCAGTCTCCAATGATAATCTCCATCCCAGATTAAATGAAAGAACTGGCACACAAAATGGTAGATTTAGCTACAAGTATTCTAAATAAATCTACCAAGATGGGGATGGTACCATAGTATTAGGAAATAAACACGTAAGACTTTGATTTAAGAAGAGGAGGGATGAAGGTAATCCTGACAGTTACTGGTCTGTTAGTGACCTCAGTAATATGCAAGGCTTTAAAACAAATTTTGAAGGGAAGTAACTAGACTCACAGTAATGAGAAAGTGGGATAAAACACAGTGTGGATTTTGAATTTATCAGAACTCAGCCATTGTTACGTGCACTACAAACTACATTGTTAAGCTACTATAAAAGAGCACAAGATCCATTTTAAAAACTACTAACATACAAGAAGACTGGGAAGTGACCCACTGCTTTTCCATCTTTTCATATACCTGGAAAGACTACATTTTGCAGAAAATTGACCTACTTGACCTTGGGCCTGTTAAATGTTATTTGCATTGTTGCCATAGCCAAAATACAAACCACTTCTCATACCTGGTCATTTTTCCAGGTGCACTGAAAGCCCATATCCTCTTGGTTTGTTGCACATATGCTTCTTCTTCAGGTCAGATAAACCAAACTGCTCTTTGAAGCTGCTCTGAGTATGATCTCCAAGGCAGTCCAAACTTGAAGTCTTCTCTCTAGAAACAACACCAGAAAGAAAACTCAGTATCTGGTTTAACAAAAATGGACCTGAATGGACTTTTTCTCAAAGGCAAAAACACTTAGTTTTTGAGAGTACACACCAGCCAAGCCAGTGTGCAATTGTTTCATCTCTCTGCTCCATGCATGCGGTAAGTAAATGAAAAAGAGGGAAAATTACTGTGGTGTAGCTTCACTTACTATGGGTTAGGAGTGAATAGGTGAAACAATTATACCAGCTTCAGCTGCATTGTATTAAATCCTTTCACACATTTTAGAGCAATACAAGTACCATATTTATCTGAATCCAAGATGAGGTTTTACCCTGCATTTAACATAGGGGAAGCACCCTTTGTCTTGGACTTGAGTACAAGGCGGTAGTGGGGCACGTGGCTGCTGAAGCTCCATCCCCAACCCCAGCCCAAACCCCGGGTTGGGGTCTGACCCACAGCTGCTTTCTGCCCCCTGCCACCTCTGCTCCCCTGTCTACCTTCCCCGTTATCTCTCCCCTCTCCCACAGCCTCTACCCTCCAACCTGTCTGCTAGCCACTATTGCTACTGTTACCAAGCCAGTCTGGGGCTAGAGCAACAACATGCTGCTTTCCCCAGGCTGAAGCAGGGCTGCAGCCATGCTGGATCTGGATCCAGAGGGTAAGTAGCGTCACGGTGTCAGGTGGCAGGGGAAGAACTGGCAGGCAGGCAGAGGGGAAAGCAGGGAAGGGAGCAGGGTCCTCTCCCCATTGCTTTCCCCGCTACTGCCTCCCCATGCTTTCCCCACTGCTACAGTAGGGCGGACAACTTTTAAGATAAATAAATTAGGCTCTACACATGAAAAATTATTAGCATCTATAAATTTTCCACGTATAAAATCTAATTATTGGAGATAAATTCCGAGTTGTCTTGGATTTGGGAAAACACGGTATTTTGTCTGACTATGCCCCAAGATCCATCCAGAAGATAGCAGTGCATATGTAATGCCAAGAGTATAACTGTCAGAGCAGTCCGTTGGCAAGGCCGCTGCAATTATGAGACAAGCCTATGCAGAGGAGAATATTCAATATAGCTATTTTGCTTACACTTTTAAACCAAAGCACAGAAATTGAGGTAGAAAAGACCTACCGGTATTAGATCATCTAGTGTAGAATCATCCAAACTTTTTTTTATTGCATACCCCCTTCCAGATGTACCAGCTGCCTGCATACCCCTACCAGCATATTTTAAATATTAACCCCTTAAATGCCTATTATTATTATTATAATGAAAATTAAATCTGCTATTACACAATTTCTTCTGTGTACCTCCCCCCTCCGCGATGTCTTGCATACCCCTAGGATCTAGTGTAGACCTCCTGATCTGGTGTAAATGTGAATAGTGCAGGGATATGCTACACAATATATGTCCTTGGACTTTTTCCATTCCAATTTAAATAAGTGTCTTAGCTAATGGAGCTAATAGCACTTTTCTTGGAAGCCTATACCACAGTGGAATAGATGTAGAAATCATCTCTCTTCAGATATTCTTTACCAAATTCTCCATTTCTTAATTTTAAGTCATTGCTCCTAGTTATATGCCATTGCTGAATCCAAAGCAACTGGGGAAAAGGCCATATTCCTCAAAATATTGTACAGTACTAGTCACTCCACTAGAGGATGCAATCATCTTAAAATGAATTATTCTCCCCACTACCACAAATATACCCTTTAGACAGTAGGTGGAGTAGTCATCATTAAGACTCTCCACTCCCTAGCTCACCTCCCTCTTTCCCCCAGCCAAAAAACCCACTTATTAGAAAATATTCCTTTCAGAACATCTTTGATTAACACAATGTCTAACATAGAAATGGCAGATAGGACTCAATAACATTGAAACAGTTTTCTTGCCATAGTCAGAGATTTTCTTTTAAAAAGGTAAGTAGTTTATGGCCTGGATCCTAATTAAACTGTATACACCGTGCATAGTCCTAGTAAAGTCAATGAGGCTAATTACAAAGCCTGTAACCTCAAAACTGGTTTTCCAAATCAGGCCATATGTACATATTTATAAATATTTCAGAAAACAAAAAATTATGTTCTATTTAACCTACTTCAGGATTTACACCAAGATTCACTTTACTGGATTTTAAATCCTTAATCTGTTTATGTAAAGCAAATATATGTTCAGGTATGTGATGTACAGGTATATGACACATAGTATGTGGGGGGGGGGGCGTGTATTTTACACACACACAGAGCAAATAATATGGCATTAAGATGCTTGTAACAAAATCATTCTTTAAAAAGAAACAAATTAAACTGAGAACAGCCACTTTTCTTTTTGATTTGGGACAGACTGAGTCTATTCAGTCAGACTCAAATTTTTGTTTGCAGAGCAATTTCTGCCACTACCTACACATACAACACACCCTTTTATGTTCATTTTCCTTTAATGTCTTAGCAAATATATTTCCTCGTAGGAATAGTTCCTAAAGCAAGAGAGTTTAGTAATAATATTGGAAAATATTCTCAGAAACAGAATTGTAAATTTGTAGCCTTGAGCCTTCACACTGGAACCTGAGTTTTAAGCTACACTCAACAAGAAGCAAACACACCATTACGACCTGCATATTTGAAAACAAAACGGTTCAAATTACGAAAACCTCTAATTAAATGCTCCCAAAGAAGTTGAGGATCAAAAACTGTTTGCAGAAGTTATATAGTATATCATTTTCAATTCGTAATGCATCTCAGAAAAATGACCATCCAGTTGTGAAAAATTCACAGACAATGATAAAAGTTTACATTCACTACAATTTTCATTTCAATATTCATTGCAACTACTTGTCTCTCACGAACTAGGAGAATGGCACATTAGAAACCAATTCAACAGGAAAAATAATCCTTAATTCTGAAATAATAAATTTGTCAAGTTCATGCATCCCCTCTGGATATAAGATACAGAAAATAATATAGAAGCAAACAATTCATATGTTGTGGCAATATTCCTACACAATACAGCGCTTGTCAGCAAGCATTACATCACTGTGCCAGCAAGGGAGTACTAGATATTAATACTTTAACAAAACTGTTATTTTCCGTTCAACAAGATTATTCACACTCCTTTCCAAGAAGTGAAAGTCAGTGTACCAAAATGCCATGCTACATCTATGTGTTCCTATTGCAGTATCACTTTTCTTAGGTGAATAGCAGGAGTGCTTACAGAGGACTAGCCCACTACACTAGCCACAGTACAAAAATATACGAGGCAGAATTTATGATTTAAGAACTAGTCCATACACCAGCTCTCACCAAAAGAACCAAAGGCATGAATTAAAGTGGATGTTACATTGTTAGAAGGTCTATTTTGGCACCTATTTTGGAATAAAAATAGTTGAAATTAAGTTAGCTAAAGTCAGCAACAAACTAACCAAGGTCTAGATTAACCCTGATTTATTTACTGCAGAGCAAGTCTGTATATGGCCATTCTACCCAAGTATGAGACAGGCACAGTAAATACAAACAGAGATGGGAAAACAAAGTAATAGTGATTGATACACTAGAATATGAGCTCCTTTAAAGTGTGGACAGTTTACCACTCAAAGGAGATTATCAACCACAAATTGCATTTTGGCTTTTTCCCACCATACCAAAGATGAAAATGACCATCAAAAATCAGCATGAACAGTACCAGAATAAAACCAATTTAATTTCCTGGATGATATAGTACCTATTCTTGTTGGAGTGAACAGTACTTATTAAAAGTTATGAGACAGTAAAACGATTATATGGCCACTGCAGTCTTTGCAATGAGGAGTTTGCAAATGGAGCTTCTTGAAAATGAAAATTATAAAGTCGGAGAAAAATATGCAAATTACTGCTTTGATAGGTCAAACTGTAGGGAGATTTGCAACAGAGTAGTTTAAATTTAAATGTAGATATAGACGTTTACCTACATTTACAAAATATGCACTGCCCCAAAAAGGCAGTTAAAAAGGAAAAACAACCCACAAGGAAGGTAATAATATTGGTACACTTTCAAATGCCTTATGAAGGAAAATGGAGAACACAGCTCCAACTTTTAATTTTCCTGACCTCCAAAAACTGGAAAATGTAATATTTTATGGGAACACATACAAATTAAACAAAAATAGGAAAAAAATAGAATAGAATTTTTTTTTAAAAACTGTACCAAGGAATGGATGATTATGATACAGCTCTAAATACAGACAGTCCAGGTATACATAATATAGAAAAGCTGTAGATGGGAAAGTGATTCTTGAAAGCTATGTATAGAAACCTGAAAATGGAAATATGCTGCTGAAAGAAACTGTTCCTTTTTTGTCTCCATTTCAATCTTGTTCAAGGAAAGACTTTAAATAATCATTTGATAACTGGCAAAAATCAGGGTAAAGAACCAGAGGGACCCCACAGCAAAGACGACTTCATGGTCTTCAGCAGTTTTATTGCTATGCCACTTCAGTCTCCTCCTGTACTTCTATTTTATAGTTTCTCATGGCCTCCAGTGTGGCTCTTTACAGCTTCAATCCTGCAAGAAGCTAAGCATCCCCAAGACTTTTAAACCAAAGCATGGAAATTGAGGTAGAAAAAGTCCTACCGGTATTAGATCATCTAGTGGAGAGGCTCCCAAATCTTTTCTTATTGTGTACCCCCTTCCAGATTTACCAGCTGCCCGCACACCCCTACCAGCATACATTTTATGTTTTAACCCCTTAAATGCCAATTATTATGATAATGAAAACTACATCTGCTATTACACAATTTCTCCCACATATCCCCCAGAGATGTCTCAAACCATTAGGAGTTGAGAGAACTCAGTACCTCACAGCATTGAGCTCCTAATCACAAATACAAGCATATTAACCACTTAAAGCTGACAATTTGCAATCTTAAGGACGTAATATTAAGACGCAGCGACACAGGGCTTAATTCAAAGTTGTGCAGGACCACTTCAGAAAGGGCCAGACCATACATCTGATAACCGGAACCATTTTTTGACTCCACCA